GTGATCGTTGGAACAGAGAGTTTAGAAACTAGGCTAAGGGGTTTCGAAACCAGGTACAGGGGGTTTTGAAATTAGGCAAAGGAATTTCAAAACCATACTGAAATTTTTGAAATTTTAAGCATTCTGCCTCAGAGTTTCGAAACCTAAAAGGGGTTTCGAAACCTTACTCCAAAATTTGAATATTTTGACTTATTTTGAGTTTCTAAACATATTTTAAAGTGTAGATCAAGTCAAAAATACTTGGAAAATATTTTTCAAGTTTTGTTGACTTTGAATTATTTTTGAATCATTTGAATAAATTCAATTAATCCCAAAAATGTTTTACCCTTATTTATTATATCAAAATATAGGTTCAACAACCCCAGATAACACGAAAAAACTCGCATAAGTGCCTCCGCATCAAGGTTGTTTGTAGCCAAGACTCTACCAATCAACCAGTGTGCAACCACGTTGGGGAAGATCTGAGGGATCGATGAGAATAAAAACCTCTGTCGTCTCATCAGACGTGAAATGTGAAGATACTAATTTTTTTTACCCATATTATTATTATTATTATTATTTATTATTATTATTATTATTATTATTATTATTATTATTATTATCATTATTAAATATATATTAAATAAATATATATAAATAAATAATTACAGACCAATTACAACTGGACCGGCCCAGTTACAAACAAACCAGAACCGGTCCAGATCAAACCAGAAACCCTAAACATTTGGGGTTCCAGTTAGGGTTTCCTAACCCTAATCTAGTCGGCCGCCTCATCACAGCCGTTGGATCTGAGAGATCCAACGGTCCAGATTGATCCAGATGAAAACCCTAGGGTCTGATACCCTAGGGACACGCAGCCGCTGCTGCTATCTCGCCGCCTCCGCCGCTGCCACGTCCCAACCGAAGGCTCCAGAAGCTCCAACGCCAGCCGTCCACGCCATGGCTACGGGGTGAGTCACCACTGGTAGTCCGGTGACTCACCGAGACCCTCTCTTCGGACCGGTCCGATGGCCACATCGGTGGTGGCTATAAAAGCCACCACCCCAACCTGAAAAAAAAAAACACACAAAAACAGAAGAAAAAAAAAGAACACAGAGCCGGGAAAAAAAAACAGAGAAATAATATAAAAGAAAACTACTACCAACGATCTCAGTCAACATCCCACAACCAGCAACCAAAAAATAGAAGGAAAAAAGGAGAGAAGCTTACCAAGGAAGCCACGACCACCGGAACCCTCCAAACGACACCGACAACCTTCGAAAACCGAAGGTATTTTCCTAGATTTGCTCCGGTTGGGAGCTTTTTAGGAGAAAATAACACCGGAACCGTCCTTAGGACGGTCCGATCTATTTAATGGTGGAAAAATAAGATTTTCCGGCCACCAGATGCGGTGGCCGGCGGTGATGGTCACGGCGGCAGACGGTTGCCGTCCGGTGACCGGCTTCCCTCCGGTGAGGGAAGCTAGAGAGCTGAGAGAGCTTTGTTCATTCTCTCTCAGTTAGAGAGAGAATGAAATTTGAAAAATGAAATAGATGGCCCGAAGGGCCGGCCATTTTTGACCTTTTATAGGCCTTCCCGAACGACGTCGTTTCGGGAAGGACTATGCGCGTAATTAGACAATAGTTAAACCCCGTCCGCCGTCCTCCTAACTTGTAAACTTTACATTTTAGTCACTAAATCGAATTTATAAATACTTTTAATTCAGTCTTTGAATTTCAATTTTATTTATTTTAGTCCTTTTTATTAAAATAATATATTTAGGATAAATAACAGATTTAATCCCTTAATTTTAATAAATAATATTTTAATCCCTAGTTTATATTTTTAATTTATTTTATTATAATATCCGAATTTTAGATAATTTTATTTTAGTCACTAAATAAATAAAATAAATAAATAGCATGTTTAATCCCTAATATTTTGATTAGTTATGAATTAGGTTTTTAATTTTATTTTTTCTATCATTTAGTTATTTATTTTAAATATATCGTTCTAGTTGTATTTTATTGTTTTAATTTTACTTGTTTATTTATTTAAATATTTTTATAGTCATAAATATATATATATATAATAAATAAATATTTACTTCAAATAAATTATTTTAAATATTTATTTTTCAATATCGAAAAAAAGGACAGTCTTAATACAACTGGATGTCCTATTCTGGAATTTTAAAATTAAATATTATAAAAAAATTATTATTATTTAATTTTATGTAAATTAATCAAATAGAAAGAAAAGAGCTGTCTTAAGGCACCTAGAAGTTCTTTTCTGATATTTTAAAATAAATAAATATTTTTTTATATAATTTTGAAATAATAAAATTATAAATTAAATATATTTTTGAATTTTTAAATTTTAATAATAGAGACAATTTATAATTAAAAAGTACCAATTTTGGGCGTTGTAGGGGTGCTAATCCTTCCCTAAACGTAACCGACCACGAATCCCTTTTTATTATTAAAAAGAATGAATTTTTGGTTATAAACGCAGATCAGTTCATTTTTTTATTAGTGTTTTCTTTAAAACTCTTTTAAAAAAATAATTTTTAGGTATTCGACCTACCTGACCCAAAAGGCCGATGGCGACTCCCAAATTATTTTCAAAACCATTTATTCACATCAATTTCCCCGCCAAAATTATAATATTTCGTGCCCGGACAAAAACCGGTTACGACAAAATGCAAATAAGCAAATAGTTTGTCAACCTCCTCAGCCATAACCGCCAGATGCAACCAACCAAAAAATACCAAAGAAGAAGAGTAAAGCTTCCCGGATAACCTCCACTGTAACCACATGGTTAAGGAAAATAACGCAAGCAGTTACAAAGCGAGGTATGAGGAACGTGTCTGTAACAGCCCAATACTCGTGCATGGCACATGCAAACCCTACAACCACGCCAACTAGCCATGAAGGTTTGGACGTTCCGACCAACCATTTCCAGTCGCCCAGAATATAAGAAAACAATTGCAGGGAAGGTAGAACACTGAAGTGAGACCGGTTATGACAATAGGCGTGTGTCGAACAGAACACAGAACGGTTACCATTACGACCAACAAACAAAAGAGAACCAAAAACGATGACCGGAGAAACAACGCAACAAATACCTGTACTGGAAAAGTAAGCACCAAACCAGTGACCGTGCCATCCTCCATATTGCAGAGGACCATGAGAGAAAGCCGCCATTTTTTTAAAAATTCTTTACTACCGATCTTTTAATTATTTTGCTATGCCTATTTTACTTATAAATAATGATTTTTAAAATTTCATATGATACATTGAAAAATATCATTTTACTTTATTTTTTCTCCTTTCACATTTTCACATTCTGTAAGTTTTCTTCCTCTCACATTAAAAAAAATATTATCTTACCATATGAGTTTTATCTTTCTCATATAAAAATTTTGTGTTAATTTTAAAGATCACATTCATTTTACAATTACATCAATTAGAGTGAAACCATTTCTAAACGATGATTTTTACTACGACATAATGAACTTATTTTATTTCTTTTGATTCATTATTATTATCACTACTATTTTTTTATTCTGTAACAGTATAATTTTCAATAACTTTTTAGTTCCCATTACCTTCATGTAAAGTGCCTGTTGGAGATGGGTATTTAGAAGATAACTGAGCTTTAGCGTGTCAATCTATAATGCTTAGATTCAACCTTTCTCTACAAGTAAAAAAAAAAATTGAAAGAGAATACGGCTTCAATCTTTTCCATGACTTATTAACTCTTCTTTCAAGTTGAAAGAAAAAGCCAAAGCAAAAACGTTAATGAAGATAAGGTATTAAGGTTTGAAGCTTTCTTTTATAAAGAAAATAATATCTCTAACACGGAATTATATGTTAGGGTGAAGTTGAATTTATAAAATTCTGGGAGGCAAATTTAAACTTATAAAATTTTAAGTGGAGAAAACATGTTTTTAATAGAAAATACATAGAAAAAATCTAAAATATAAGATAATTTTAAAATTTCAGAGGGTGTGTCTGCCCCTACCCGCCCTCTCGGTCCATCCACGTCATTTTTCTTAAGATTAATCTTCACATTTTTTCTACATGTAAAAAAATGGGTAGCTATTTGGAAGTTATCTTGAGATTGATGGATCTTATTGCTTGGGACCACGGATGACATAGTGCTTAGGATCTATAAAATAATTTCTCCATTACTCTCCATTCTAATATGAATCCAAAAAATAAAAATTAAAGAATGAAATTTAAATCAGTCAAATTTATTGTGGGTAAAATAATAAATTAAAATGAAATAAACTTGAAATCTCATGGGTTTTCTGTTATGCTTCACATTCCCTTTGTTAGACACCCGAAACTTCCTTTTCCAACCCAAGTTTACAAATACCTATGTTCCCCAAGAATATATCCAAAACTAAAAGTCCTTGTGTTTAGACTTTAGACCCTCCATTTCTTTTCCTCAAGTCGTATCATATTTCTTACATGGTCAACTTTTTTCTTTAGTCCCTACCTTATAAATAAATTGTGAATTTAATCTTTATATTTTAATTTAATTATTTTTATCTATATTTTTAAAATTTTAGTATTGACCTAAGATAACATATGAATAATATAATTAGATTTTAAAAACTTAAATAATTAAATTAGAGAACATGCTGCGAAATTATTAAAGTGAATTAAGGATCCATGATGTACAGATATAACAATCTAATTATTGAAATGATAAAAAAGGAAATTTCCTAAATTTTCACTCGCAGAAGCTTCTTAAACTGAATGATCTTATAGCATGTGACGTGTTATTCACGGTAGAATTTCTTAGCCAATAGGTCAGATGCAGAGGAAACAGAAGTGGTAACGTGGGAACTGGGAAGCCTGCCAATGTATATCAACTTTGAACCCAAAATATACGACAAAACTGGAGAATTCTATACAAATCTCAATCATGCTTAATTCCTCACAAATGCTTAGTGTATATATATTTATATATCTCCGAGCACCAAAGTCGCATATACCATAACCTAGGCAATGGTTGAGCAAGAGCAGGTTAAGCCCTTCGCCCCGATGGCCTTCGGAGCTCAAAGCAGCGACGACGACGAAGCCTTGTCGATGGAACTGCAGTCGAAAAAGAAACGATATATCCAGTGTTGCGGCTGTATCACCGCACTCCTTTTAATCCTAGCCACCGTTGTTTTAATCCTGTTTTTCACTGTTTTTCGTATACAGGATCCAATGGTCTGGTTGAATTCCATAACAATCCAAAGCCTGGAGATTTCAACCAAGGGAATTCTAAGGACTGATGTAAACGTAACACTTTTAGCTGATGTTTCAGTGGAGAACCCCAATGCAGCGACCTTCAAATTCAATAATGGCATGACGACGATTTACTACGGTGGCAGGGTGGTGGGTGAGGGCATTCATTTCCAAGGGAAGGCTAAGCCTAGGCGTACGCTGCGGAAGAACGTGACGGTGGAAATCGATCCCGAGAAATTTCTGGCTGATCCGAGCTTTGTGATCAAAATCATGGGTTCAAAGGGATTGAACATAAGCAGTTACACCAGAATCTCAGGCCGGATAGATATTATGAACATTATCAAGAGAAACGTTTTGGTGAAATTCAATTGCTCCACGACTTTTAGACTCGACCACTCTGGCGTAGGCTTTCATGGAGAGAAGTGCCGGCCAGAACTCGATTTCTAGATATACTATATATATATGGTGATTGCTGAAGTTACGGTTAAATATTGCACACCATGTCGATTAGATTGCTGTATGTTTTCTCTTTCTTTCTTTTTTCCCCTATGAAGTTACTTATAAAGTATAAGAACTAAGAATTGATTAACTTTCTATGTTTTCAGTCAATGTTGATTGCATCTTAGAATAAAAGCAAGATTAGTTGGACTGGGCACTAATGAACTACTTTGTGATGCAATCATGTTACAAAAATCCCTCGAAACTCTGCCATAAACATTATATTGCAAAGAAGTGGGATTAGGGCAAGGAATCCAGATAATTTGGTGCTTTTCATGAGATGGACATTGGATTTGGACCTTATACACTTTGTTTTGAGACAACTTTCCTTCCTAAGCTGCATCAAATAATAATAGAATAAAGTAGATAAATGATCATTATATTATATTGAACAAAGAAACCAATCATCTTTCAGAACGGATAGGGGAATGTTATGACCCAAGAATCTATGCCAACTCAGCAATCCTATCAATTATTGACAGATCAACATTCCAAGGCTTTGTTGGTTACGGTAACTAGCTATAAAATATAGTGGAGTCAATGAAGGAAGGGCATGAAATATTGTTATAATCTGTTACTCTCTCCCTTTCTAGTTTTCTCTCTGTTCTTCCCTCATATTTCTCATTTTATCTTCTCTATTTGCTGTAATTTCTTGTTCTTCAATGGAATACAACTTAATTACTTGAGTTCATATCATTAAGAAACTGAGTTCATAACAGGGAACTTTTTTGTTAAGGTTCCAGTTGATGGCTAAAACGGCATAAGGGGTTTGCCCATAAAAAAATAGCATTACTGCACTAGCATAGTGGAAAGGCTCCGCACTTTGCAGCGCCTTTGTAGGCCCCAAGTCCTGCCGCTAGGAGACAAATGGTATCTCACTGGCTATTTCACAACAGCAAGAGAATGCATTGGCAACAACAACATCCATGATTTCTCCAGTTCCAATACCTGATTAGAAACACAGGTAAAGCAGTAAAAATCTTGTTCCTTTAAGAACTAGTTTTATGGTCTGATCCATTAGACCAAAAAAGAACCATAACCATAAACAATGGTGGGACTTTTGCCATTGCCCTTCCTTTCTTTTTCTCCCTCCCTATGAGGAAAAGAAAAGGAACTCTATTTTTTTTGATCTGTTTTGGTCTCCACTCCTCCACGTCTCTGACCACAAAAGACAGCATTTAGTCCCGACCTGGGACCCATAATGGCAAATGCAAACTACTCAGCATGGTTTTTAGAACCGGATTGGTTAGTGAACCGGCCATGTTACTGGTTTACTGGTTCAACCGGTCGGAAGAACCGGACGACGTTATAATTATTTAAAAAATTAAATAAAAATACCAAAAATATTTAATAAAAAATAATTTTTATATCACAATTCATATTCAAAGCAAGTCATAACATATGTATATAAGTTAAAAATCATAAAATCAAGTTAAATAAAATGATTCAAATTAACTACAACATAATATTTAAGATAAAACATATTAAATAATAAATATAATTATATAACTATAATTAAAAAATAAATTTGGGGATAAAAAAATTATAACAAAATGATATTGTTTGGTTTAATTTTTTTTTAAATAATCCCACATGGTTAAGAAACATAGAAGATCATCCCAAATAACTTCTATAAATAATAGAGGTAATTTGGCATTCAAAATCATAGAGCCTTTTGGTAAGCATTGAGTGAACTATTCTTTCACTTCAATCAAGCTCGAATTTTAGGCTTCAATCGAGCTTCTAAATTTTTTTTTGAGTTCAAGCCTTTTTGAGTTCAAGTTTCAATATTATATTTCGAGTTTGAGTTAAACTTCATAATTTTTAGCTCGTGAGTTTGAATCGAGTTGAACTTACTTTTAAATTTTTCAAGTTCGAGTTGAGCTCAGCAATACTCGAGTTCGACTTGGTTCGTTTAACAAATGACGTCGTTTGGTTTAATTTTAAAAAAAACAAAATTGACGGTTTTTCCCAGTTTTTCCCGGTTTTTTCCGGTTTTCAACCGGTCCGGTTTGAACGGTTCAGCGGTTCTGACCGGTTCACTAATAGGGGTTCAACCGGTTAAGATTGAACCGGACTAGGCAACAGTTTCCTTTTAAACCGGTTGAATCAGCCGATCCGATCCGATTTTCAAAACAATGCTTCAAAGACAAAATCTTTCAACCCTTTCATATTTTAACTACGGAGGTTTGGATTTGCTCTATCTTTCCACCAAGATAATTGTCAAATCTGCCCATAAATGCTACACCAGCCAACAAAAACATTTAAACACTAATGTGGCTTTTGGTTCTTTGGAATATTTATGAGGGAATTGAAATATGTGAAAGAGTTGGACTCCAATTCCATATTCTGTTTGGTTGGCAGAAAATGGAATTAGAATCCAATTCTATATTATGTTTAGTTCGCAGACATGTCAGATGAATTTGATTTCAGTAATGTAAAATGACAGAATTGCCCTTCTTGTTTTTTTGCTTTATTTTAGTTTATTTTACAACTTACATGTAGTAATATATTATAAAAAATCATGCTAATATATTTCAATAAATTATAAAAATCATGCTAATAAAAATTATAAAAATGACAGAATATGTTAATAAGTTACCAAAAGATAAAGCAATATTTCGATACATTTCAATCGGAGTATGTTAATTAGTTACCAAAAAATATATCAAAAACTATTTTTATTCAATATATGAATTAGAAACTCAACCTGACACGACTCAAAATAATAAAAAAATTATTTTTATTCAATAAAAATATTGACTTAATTGAAAAAAATTATATATAGAGGGGTATTATTGTAATTATTCCTAAATATATAAGGTAAAATTATATATTTTTTCGGGTCGGTCCGGTTTTTTCACCCTAAACCCGAACCCGACCCGACTCGACCCGAATATCACACTTAAAAAACCCGACCCGACCCGAACAAAATAAAGTTTCATCCAACCCGACCCGACCCGAATATATGAATTAGAAATCCGACCCGACCCGAATTATATATATTTTCAGGTATGTCCGATTTTTTTCACCCTAAACCCGAACCCGACCCGAATATCACACTTAAAAAAACCCGACCCGAATCGACCCGAATATCACACTTAAAAAACCCGACCCGACCCGAACAAAATAAAGTTTCAACCGACCCGACCCGAATATATGAATTAAAAATCCGACCCGACCCGAAATAATAAAAAATTATTTTTATTTAATAAAAACAGTGACTTAATCCGACCCGACCCGAATTATATATATTTTCGGGTCGGTTTGGATTTTTTCACCCTAAACCCGAACCCGACCTGACCCGAATATCACACTTAAAAAAACCCGACCCGACCCGACCAAAATAAAGTTTCACCCGACCCGACCCGAATATATGAATTAGAAACCCGACCCGAAATAATAAAAAAATATTTTTATTCAATATATGAATAAGTTACCAAAGGATTGATGAGGGTAGTATGGTCAAATTTCAATTCCCTCCAACAAGGGGATTAAATTCCATCCATTTTTTTTTTTGGAATTCACTTTCCCTCATTTGATGGAATTGAATTCCATCAGGGATTCCAATTCCCTTGAAAAACTCGAACCAAACATGGGAAAATAATAGAATTTGATTCCAATTCTCACAAATTCCAAGAGATTACATCCAACCAAACGCCACCTAAAATAACCAAGTCAAGTCCATACTAATATAAAATTAATTTCCCATATTTTCAAAATATTTAATATTTTAGTAAATTAATTATTGAATTTAATAACATTATAATTTATCAAATCGATGATACGAGTGAAAATATTTTAAATAAAAATTATATTCATAAATTAATTGGTTTTCGTTTATATTTAAAAAGTTAAATTAATGTCTGACTTAACTCGTGTCATTAATTATACTCCTAATGCATAAAATTTCAATAGTATTCATGACCCATCAGATTGAAAATACAACTCCTTAGTATAAATTTAATTATTAAAAAATATTAAATATATATTATAGTATAAATAGGACGTAAAATATCAGTCTTAACAGTAAAAACAATATTAATCTCCCTAAATATTCTGAATTTGAAAATAATCTTATAAAATAATTAAGGAATAGTCTTTTATTAAAGTAATTAAATAATCATTGAAATTAATATATCTAAGTCAATATTCAAATTTTACAAGAAAAATAAAATTTTATTTTTATCCAAATTAAAGTTTCTCTTTTTTTATACATAAATGGGTTAAATAAATATTTTGATGAAATAAAAAATTATTCGAATGCAAATTAGGGCATAAACATCGATACAATAAAAATATATAATTTTATAAAGTTTAAATAGTTAAATATAATAATATAACAAAATATCATTTCTATCTCCGAAAACTTGAACCTGGAGTGTAAATAGCATGGTTTTTAGATCTGGACCGGTTAGCGAACCGGTCATGCTATCGGTTTATTAGTTTAACTGGTCGAACCGGTTCGACCGGTCGAAAGAACTGGACGATTTTATAATTATTTCAAAAATTAAATAAAAATACCAAAAATATTTAATAAAAAATAATTTTTTATATCACAAGTCATATTCAAAGCAAGTCATATTCAAAGCAAGTCATAACATATATAAGTTAAAAACCATAAAATTAAGTGAAACAAAATGATTCAAATTAACTACAACATAATATTTAAGGTAAAACATATTAAATAATAAATATAATTATATAACTATAATTAAAAAATAAATTTGGGGTTAAAAAAATCATAACAAGATGATATTATTTGATTTATTTTTTTTAAAAAAAACAATATCACATGGCTAAGAAACATAGAAAAGCATCCCAAAAGTCTAAAGAGTAAAAATATGAGAACAAAACAATCTCACATTGCTAAGAAACATAGAAGAGTATCACAACTAACTTCTATAAATAATAGAGGTAATTTGACATTTAAAATCATGGAATCTTTT